AAATATTATTAGATCGCAGTACTACGTAATTTTATTATGACAATTCATCTTTTCCTGAGATATTTTGATAAGAGAATATGTCAACTTTCATACAGATTAGACAACAACAAAAGATATTTCAAGTTCCAACATATAACGTGAATTAAATGACAAAAATGGTGGCGACAGAAGAAGAAATAAAGAATGATGAATGGAAAACAACATTGATTTGAGAAATAAATGGAAAAAAATTATTAAAAGTGAAATGAACTTCAAATGATTTTTAATTGTTAGTTTCATTTTGTTCACTTGTTTTTGCATTTGTTCTACATCTCTAACACCATTCCTCATCAAACTGAAAAATCGAATCTTTAACAAAAAAATGAAAGTACAAAACTAAAAACAAAATATTTATCAAATGCGCCTACCATCTTATAGTCATTTTCATTTTTCTCCACACTTTAACTAGTATTTTGTTTCATTTGATAAAATTTAAAATTGATCCTATCCTAATCTTAACTAATTATTCTATTAATCTTTTATTTTTTTTTAAGTAATGTTACACTTATCATCTAGTTGTTCCATCATTTATATCATTCTTTGATGAAGATAGAATTTGCGAACGCATGTAGGTCCCTTTTCTATTAAAGAGATGATACAACTAAATGACAAGAGTACCATTTTTTATTTTAACTATTCTTATGACACATGCCTTTATAACGCGATTTGGATCCCATCCGGAATCCAAATTGTGGGGATGCTAGGGATTCTCAAATCTTAGTAATTCATCATACATCGTGTAGTAAAAAATCATTTGATTTTTTTAATTATTTAAAATTAAACATAAATAGTACCTGATAAAAACTGACCGCACAATATACGATAAACAGCTAGTATGTTATCATCCCTAAGATTCTCACAAAAATAATTCGGAGAGGAACCTCTTCCTTTAAAATGTACAATTGATGCATTTCTAATTCATCTCATCTACATTTTATGGTCCACTAATAACATCGTCTCAGTACCTTAAGACTTCAAAATTCTCTCACAAACATTCATAGCCTAAAGAAATACTAAAAGCATTTTTTTGTTACCTAAATAATAAAAAACATAAATAATTGTATACTTTATATGTTAGTGCTTAGTGGATTGAAGTTGAAGTGCACGCGAAAGAAACTGAATATATTTGTATACTTTATTTCCAATTTTTTCCTTAAACAACAACGATATTTTACGTTGAATAAATATTCTATTCACTGCATAAAGGATATATTTAAAAAGCATTCAGTACAAAATAACATTTGCAATAGATTAAATAAAATACGTTATGACCAATCGCAGGACAATGACTCAATGAGTCTTTTATTTTAGACTCGGTCAACACAATGAAATATATAATAAAACCCCACTATCTTCACCAGTAAATATAACAGCCCAAACCCTGATATAAAATTACAAATTATGTATGGTTAAACACTCCATTACCATTTGCAACTTTTTTATCGATAAATGCTAACGAGACTCTCATAGACTCTCTGCATCTTATCTTTTTGATAAAATTTTAATATTATAAAATATTATATCAAAAATATAAGATAATGAAGAGTCCATAGACAGTCACATTTTGAAACTGTCTCCTTATCATTTCTCCTTTTGAATTGAAAAATGAAAAGAACTTATATATGGTATATTAAAGTTCTCTACTGGTTCTCATGAGGATTGCCCAAATATTATTATATATATATTTTTTTTTACAAACGGTATTATCTGTACTAAAGTGGGTGGGCTGAGCCTCACAATTGGCTATTAATAATGTGGTTTAAATTTACCATAATCAAACTTAAGATTTCTCACTTACCAGTAAAGAAGAATATCACTAGAACGTAGTATTAAGTGGCATGATTGCCCAAATATTAGTTACCTATTTTTTAGATTATTTGGATACTCCTCTTAGTCTTGTAATCTATTTCTACCTAATCTAAAAATTTGGTTTGAAAATTTGTTATTCTATATATTATATAGATTTAAGTCCTACACTGATGCAAAAATATTGTGTTATGTTAAATTTTGTGTTGCACGGAGAAGAAGAAGCTCCAAAATCATATAGGAAAATTTCAAACGTGTATTTGTGTACCTTTTCCTAACCGAAAAATGAACATTATGGTGCGGAAGTAAACATGTAGGGTGGTGTTATCTATGTACCTTTTATTTTTATTTTTAAACAAACGATATTATCTACTCTAAAATGGCGGGGGAACGAGTTAAGTCTTACAAAGGGCTGGCCATGTAGCCCTTTTTATCTTCACATTCTCGCGATTTTCAATTAGCGGATTGAATGAATTGAAGATGATTAAATGCCATAAATTAATAAGGGGTGGGTAAATAGTATAGGTGGGCACAATTTAGTTTGGTGCGGTTTTGAGAAAAAACGAAAGTTTTTCGATTCGGTTCGATTTTCTAGCTAAAATCAAAGTGGAACCAAACCATTTGGTTTTGGTTCGATTTGGTTTCAAACGGTTTCGATTTCAAAGTACAAGTCTTAAGGTTATATTTTATAGTTATATAAGGCTACATATTATATTAGGGGTGGGCACGAGTTGGTTTGGGTCGGTTTTGAGCCAAAACTGAAACTATACCGACCTAGTTGGTTTGGCCAAAATTGCAAATCGAAACCGACCAAGTTGGGTCTAAAACCGATCAAGTCGGTTAACCGAATGTAGCATATTGGTTTGGATTGGTTCTCGATTTGTGTGAAGACGAAAATACATAATAGATTTCTCTTCCAAAAGCTACAGAACATAACACCAACATGAGTGATTGCTCAAAGAAAAGTACAAATGAAGCAGCCTAAAGCAACAATTGTTGCGTTCTCCAAATGGTGCCCCTGTTCTTCTCCAAATGGACTCTTAACTAGCCATGTTTTGTTTTCATGTGGTGGAAACACAGTAACTCATAAATAACTAACCATTTATATTACTACACGTATTAATTATAATTAAAAAATAAGATTAAATATATGCAGATCGGTTTGGTTAACTGTACCCTATGAATTTTGGGAACCGATTGCCGAACTGATTAAGGTCCGTTCGGTTTGCTTTAACCACTGAAAATTGAAAAAAAAAAAAAGAAAAAAAAAAGGAAACCAAACTAAACCGTCGGTGCGGCTCGGACAGTTCAATCGGTTTTTTTTTTTTTTTGTAAAATGCCCAGCCCTAGCAAAGAAATGGATGAGCAGGAAAATTCAAAATCTGAAGTGATTCAAGTGAAAGAGCCCTACCACATGTCATTGCTCCAAATTGGTGTCATTTTTCAGAGCTAAAGTTTTGATTTCTCTCAAAGTTGCACCCTTCATGTTAATTTGAGTCCAAATTTAATCTTCAGTTCTTCATGTCATCATCAGCGTCAAAATTGTCCCTTTCTTATTGATTTTAATTTGAGCTTAGATTGTTTCTAAAAAAATGTGTTTCTTTCGAAAATTAGAAAAAAATAGTTTAAAGGGGGTCTCTGTTCTTACTTTTTTGGCTCCAAATTCTATGTGCCGTCTCATTGTTTTAGTTTTGCAGACAAGGAGAGCAACTTGCTTTCTATTTTCACAAAACAGAACAAAAAGGGCACGGAGCAAGTTGAAAAGTTGGAGTGCATGAAGTTGAGAGAGATGAGAGTTGAGAGAGACCACCTGATTGAGTGACAAACACTCAGAAATAGATGAATTTTTGGCGTCATTAAGTCCATATTATATATTATTTTAATTTTTATGGTACGGTTCGATTTCAGTTTAGTTTTAGAAGGCTAAAACCGAAACCAAAATAATTTACTTTACTGCGGTTTGATTTCAAGATCGCAAAAACCAAACGATCGGTTCGATTTGACTTGATTGGTTTTTCAATTTCAGTTTTCAAATCAAGTGCCACCCCTAGTAAATGGTTCAAAGAGTTTGTAGATTGCACCTCCTGAAACGTAATGAAATAAATGGGAGGGCACAAGTGGCTATTAACTTACTGCCTTGGTGATTAGAGGCTTCCACTTCAACTCACTATGTCGCTCTTCATGTATGTCTCTTTCTTATTTGTATAGAAGATGATGTTATCTATGTTAAAAATGAGTCTCATATTGATAGAAGAAGGGACCTTGTATGAGCTTGTAAGAGGGTGAGCTATTTCTCGTATTGCCAATTGATTTTATGGTGGAATCTCAACTTTCTTCATGGTATCAGAGTAGGTTGTCCTACATATGAAACAAAATGACCACATGTGTTCCACGTCATCTTATTGTGTTGTCCATGTGTTAAGCTAAAAAATTTGCCAAACATGAGGGGGTGTTGAGAATGAGTCACACATTGATGGGATGAGGGACCTTGCATGGGCTATAAGAGGTTGAACTATTTCTCATATTGCCAATTGATTTTATGGTGGAACTTCAACTTTCTTCAATTCACACACTCATTCTTATGTCCTCAACTTTTTTCAATCCGCACACTCGTTCTTATGTCCCACACACATTTTGTTATTTTTTGTCCTTTAATATTCTATTCATTTGGTCCGACGCCTGAAACTGAGAAACTTGTGTGTGAAGTAAAAAATTGAGTATGTAGATAGAACGTAGATTATTCAGAATATCGTTGGAATAAAAAAAAATTAAAAAATAAAGAGGGAGGGCAATTCTGTAACTAAACAGAGAATGCATGGGCCATGCTGAAGTTGGCAGATAGGAACGCGAAACCGGACGTTACCAGCGAGCGCAAAGAACACGTGTTTGGAAATGTGAAACCGACGGGTGGTGGGATCCACGCGGAATGCTGCGAGGAACCAACTCAACTCCCAATGGCCTTTTTTTTTAAACACACATATATTCCTCGTGCTTTTTAACTCGAACACAAATAATAATTTAAAACAATAAAACAATAAAACAACCAATTGATAATTAAATAATTAGTTTAAAAATAAATAAATAAATGAAGATGAGCCCGTGGGCTGCTGATAAAAGGAGGGGGAGAGACACATAGGACCACAAGTCTTCTCTCGCTACAAGAAGGGTATGGAGGCAGGAGGATTCAGCGCAACGACAGAAAGGGGAAGAAATATTGGGTTCTGAATTGTAACTGGGTCGGTGGGAAAAGAGTGGATTTTGAGTTGTGGGTAGTGTTTGGATTGTCGGATTGTGTATTGGGTCGGTGGAGAAATGTCGACTTCGTCGGAGACTGCGGAGGTTTCAGGCCAGAGAGGGATGAGGGCGGCGGAGAAGCCGTCGAACTTCACTCAGACATGCAGTATGCTTTGCCAGTACATCAAGGAGAAAGCCAGCTTTGGAGATCTGAATCTTGACATGGCATGCAACAACATGCAACAATCTAATCGTAAAACACTTGTCTTTACTTTTTAGCCGGACCTTAATTTCTGTTTGCTTGCTGAGAAAATTAGAGAAAGAGAAAATGAATTTCATCTAGAATCTTATGTGTGCATGTCTATGTTTTAGGCTTTTAGTTTCTGTTTGGTTGCTGAGAAACAAAGAAGCTTTCCAATTAGAAAATCAGAAAAGGGAAAGTTTTTAGTCACATAAACCATCAGAAAAGGGAAAGTATTTAGTCACTTAAACCACCTGAAATAAATTGTGAACTTTTTTATTTTTTTTCATGTTATTTTTCTGTTAAGATTTAATAAGATCTCATTCAAATTTGACCAAGAGCACCTGAAAATTGCAGTAAAAAGCACTGCTCTGTTTAATTTTGTTTCTATATCAAAAGGGTTTCAGAATTTTCCTTATTTGGTTTCTAAAATTGGACAATGTTTTGACAGGAGGAACACCTGAGATGTTTCGTCCGAAAGCCCCACCCATGAACTTCTTTCCATTTATGGAAAATTCTCGGAACATGCCAACGGCGGCTACAGACTTCAAGTCCATGGATTTGTTTCCTCAACAAGCTGGTTTTGGTCCCTCTGCCCCCACTCCCAGAGAAGAGGTCCCCAAGATGGCTGACTCTAGGTAATTTTTCGAAATTTACGGCGTTGTGAGGTTCCTGTAGTTAAAGTTTTTGTCGATATTGGAAGGCGAAAATCGGATTTCTGAATTATTGTAGCAACGTAAGATGTTCTTCGGTTTATATGTGAAATCTTTGTTAGCTCATTTTGATCTGTTCATGATGTACCAGTGTGAAGAAATCTGCCCCTGGAGAGCCTCAGAAGGCGCAAATGACTATCTTTTATGGTGGACAAGTAATCGTGTACAACGATTTTCCGGCGGACAAGGCCAAGGAAGTCATGCTCTTAGCAAGCAAGGAGAGTTCTCAGAGCCACACCGCTCCGGCTTCACCTCCGGCCAATACTAACAATGCCTTTGCCTCTCATTTGGGCAAGAGTCCCATTAATTCCAGCAGTCCAGTTCCTCCGAGCGCCAACATGTTTCCTAACCATGGCAATCAAGCGATTCAGGAGGGTGTCAAACCACCCCCTCGACCCGTTGTTTGTGGTAATTTTCTTTCTGTGATCATCGGTGTCTCCATATCTTAAGTAGTCCTATCAACAACACGTTTCTAATCAATGATTTCCTTTTCCATTGCAGATCTTCCGATTGCAAGGAAAGCTTCGCTTCATCGATTCCTCGAGAAGAGAAAGGATAGGTAGGCATCCGAAACAACTATACCATAATTCATGTTGGAGTAATATATTTTTAAGATCCATTTGATTGATCTGGTTTGCAATTTCTTTCTGTTTTACAGGCTCAACACCCTAGCACCGTACCAAACGAGCAGCCCTGCATCCGGCCCGGCGAAGCCAACCGAAAACAAGTCATGGTTAGGGTTGGCTGCCCAGCAAACCCAATGATATGAGAACCTGTGCTGTTGTATGCATCCTTAGGCTTTCTTACGGTTCAAGCCTCTGCAATGTTTTTCAATTTTGGCGGGTTTGATTTAAAGCCCGGAGTTCCATTAGCTCTATATTTGTCTGTCATATTAGATCTAACTGTTGGTTAATCTTAATTAGTTTATGTAAGCATGTAATTAAGCTTTTGATGGAAGGAATTCAATTAGTAATGATATAATTTTGATCTTTTATAAAATAAATTTACTTCTTCTTTTGTTGACAACGGTCCAGAAGTGTCAAGCCCGAAAGAACGTTACTTCGCTGCTGATACAATAGCAGCAACTGCTGAAGTCCTAATCTCAGATGAACATGTGTTTAATTATAATTTTCAATTTTAATTATTGGGGCACTATTCCATCTGTGATTGGGATTTGCAACAGCTAAATTGTAAAATTACAATTATATCTGCAACCAACGATCCACGACGAGTGAATTATGTTCACTCTTTGTTGGTGGAGGTAGATAGATGTGTACATGGTTTGCTTTAAGCACGTTCAACATTTTTATTTGAGTGGTCCTCAAAATCTTGGTTTCTCATCAACATATGTGATATATGTGGCCCCATTGCTTGTGGTTTGTGTCCAAAGTAAGAAGACTAAGTGGTACCATACGATATGAATTCCTTGTTTGACCAAATAAAGAATAGCATGTGGGTTCTAACGTAGGCGACTATTATGTGCTTTTTTTACTTTATCAACAAGTCTCATTGATGAGATATGAACTAAAAAAACCGACCATCGTACACTCGGGTATTTTTCATCTGTCATTAAACCAAATAGTTATGTGAACTCTGGGTGGCATTAGATCAAATAGTTCACATGAAACTAAACTGTTTTTCAGCAAAGTAAAAACTGAGTGTTGTAGACTCTGATCTTTTTAACAAAGTAGGTATTGAGGGTCGTTAAGCCTATTAGCTAAATGAATTATGGATGTCGCTATACCAAATAGTTCAGATAAAATTAAATTATTTTTCAGCAAAGTAAATATTAAGTGTCACTGTACTAAATAGTCATAGAAATTAAGAATTATTGAAGAAAGTTGGGATTTCATCATAAAATCAATTGTTAATATGGGGAGAAGCCCCATTACTTATAAGTACATGTAAGGTCCATTATTTCTTCGATGTGGGATTTATACTCTCAATACGCCCCCTAATGTGTGGTAAAATTTTAAGTCTAACACATGAACAACACACATTGGGTAACATGGACAATGTGTGGCCATTGAGCTTCACACATGGGATAAATCTGCTCTGATACCATGAAGAAAGTTGAGGTTCTATTGTAAAACCAATTAACAATATGGAGGGTCGTCCAACTACCTAAAAACACACACAACCCCTCATGTTGTCGACATGAAATTCATACTCTCAACACTAATATCTTTTATCTATAACAAATATTGAATGTCATTAGACCAGTCACCAAATAATCATGTTGGCATGTTGAATCGTGCAATTTTAGAAATGGAACATGCATAATATAGTTGATAAATCACACAATGCTTTGACTTAAAGGGAAATGAGTTTTGATGCTAATTGCTAAATATGCTGGAACATTAACCACCACCTCTCAACCACTCCTCTTATCTTTAATGGCAGCATTATCACTAGATTTAGATTATGTTTCTCTTGTAGTTCACATGATTGACTTGTTCAAGTTGGACAAGAAAATCAACACGCAACAAATTCAAACAAGTCACATTTTCTAGGTTTTATTCCATTTTTGCTGCAAAATATTGTGTCCAAAATTTGGTAAACATTGCTAATTAAAAAATGAGGTGAAGTGTTCATTTATGTTCATGTTAAGGCTTTTCAGTGAAATGATTTATGAGATTGATATAACTTATTACTTTGATCCTTGACATTGAAAATTGATAGAATGATTCTTAAATTTGTCCACCGTCAATCACTTTGGTAATCACGTGAAAATCTCGTTAAATTGAGGCTAATTTTTGTTCAATCAATCAATCCCTTCACTTGCTTAAATTGAGACAAACTTAAGAATCACTTTTATCGATTTTCAATGTTAAGGATCAAAATGAAGAGTTATGTCAAAGATCATTTTGACTGAAAAGCCTAATGCTAATTACATCCTAATTGTAAACAACAGTGATGCCAGATTAAATGTTGTGGATCAGATTAATCAAATCACTTTGTTTGAACTTTTCAACTATCTCATTTGGTTCACGGAGTCGCTTTTTTTGTTTGACTCTATTTAAATATGAGTGAAACTACCGATTTGGCCATCTAAATTTATAAGCGAGAAAATTACCACTTAAAAGTATCTCATGAAGTAACGAAAAGTATGTGCTTTCCATCTAACTTATCTTAAAAACACGCGGTTTCCAACTTGAACACGAAAGCATTCTGATTAGTTTTTCTTGTCGACCAAAATAAACAAAGAATTGTTTTGGTTAGGCAAGTGGTGGCCTCTTTGGCCTCTTTTGACTCTCCCTAATACAACAATTGTATGGTATATTGTATACAAATACAAATATACGTATGGAAAGATTTCGTAAAGCTATTTTTTTATATGATTTTGATATGCATTTTTGTGGGGTTTATTCATTTTAATGAACAGAACAGTCTATCTTTTAAAACATCATTCGTAGATCATCTTTTTAAATAATCATACAACTCTAAAATCATTAAGATATTCATTTGTACTAAAAAAAATAAACAAATATAGTTCAACAAATAAACCTTAAACCTTTAATCTAATGTCATATGATTTTAGATTTTGATAGACTTAATTTAAAAAAAAAAAAAAATCTTAAAAGATAAACAGTTCAGAACAATAAATATATTATGAAATGAATTTTACAAAAACATATTTAAACGTTTATTAAAAAAAAAATAGCGCGATGAGTCAGCTCATATACATATTAATATGTTTTTTTATTTGAGATGATGTGATATATAGAAACAAAAAGTAATAGTGGCAGACACTTGCATTGCAAGGCACTGAGCATCTTTTTTCAAACAAAGAGGTTTGAAATTGTCACGTTGTTCACGATCATGTCTTTATTTCTACATTATTTATTCGTTTATCTTCCAAAAGCATACGAGTGCTGAGTGGAGATATTTAGTAGGGTAATTGCTAATTTTTATTAATTGGGCATCACATGCAATGTTCTTGGTGGTGGGTAGGTGGGGTCGCCTCTCTTTTTCGACCCAATTTTATTTTTATTTATTTTTATTTTATTGTGATGGATTCCATGAATTGAAATTTATTTTTTATTTTATTGTGATGGATTCCATGAATTGAAAAAATATATTGAATAATATAGAGAGTCTGATTTATTTATTTAAAAATAAACAGTTGGTAGCTTTATCATGACAGTCTACTTTTTTGGGGGACAGAAAGACTCACAGATGCATTTTATTCTCGTTATAACCACCATCGTGTAAGTCAACAGTACGAGGAAAGAACCCAAGACGTGTCGCATAAAATACGAGCATGAAATTCGTCCCTAACTACTAAGTCACCCCATGGTAGTTCGCATGAACAATTGTTGAAATAAAACATATTTCACATGCTTTTGTACTTTTTATTAATACAAGCAATATTATTGCTTTAATTACATAAGTAGAAGGGAAAGAGTTTAAATTACACAAGTAATTTAAAAAAAAATTTATATTAATCATCCAGACAATTCATCACTTGCTTTCACAATTTTTTCTGACTCATTTGCGTCCAGCATTCGTATTTATCAAAAGAGAGATGGAGAGGTTTTTGGGGGGAAATGATCCTCGCCGAATCTCGTGATCGTGATCATTCATCGTACATCGTACGGTCAGAAATCATTTGAAAATTTAAATTTTAAAATTAAATATAAATAGTAGCTAATGAAAACTGACTGCATAATATACAAAAAATAGTTACAATCACGTGATCCCTAAGATTCCCAAAAAAAGGATCCGCGATGATTCTTTTCTGTTTTTGGGTGCCTTGCAAAGTGGGTTTCATTGCTCCCGCTTACGGGGCTACTAATTCTGAGCCCAATAGCTAGTTGGGTGGTGTTGAGTTTGGATTATTTAGGCATTTGGCCATGAAAAAAATGAATACATATTCTAACCCATTATTTTCATTTGGTACCAACCCTTAAAAGTATGTTTACTTGGAATGAGTGAGGCAATAAACCTCAACATGGATAAAAATAAAGGAAAATTAATGAAAATGATTTGAAAACTTTGAGTTTTAACGATAACGACAAAATAAAGAGCAAAGTGAATAGTACCATGATTGACTTTTTAGTGTAAAAATGTGGTTTTTCGTTAAAGTGAACAGTACCGGGAGCTTTTCCTTAAAGTTCTCTAAAAATAATGGGTATCAGATCCAATAGATCCCCTAATTGATTTGACTCGTAAATTTTTCAAGTAATGAATTACAAGTGGAACTTACACTGTTGATTATGTTCTGTATGTGAATTAGCACAAAAAAAAGATCGAGAATCAGGATAATTCTAATAGTCATCCAAAGGGCTTGAATCATCAACTTCTCATGGAAGTGGACAGTTGTATTGAGCTACCAAATCTCTCATTTCTCGAGTTCAAATATTCTGCAGTCATTTTATGCGTGATTTCTCTATGGCTTCTATCATTATTAACACGTGTTCATAAACTTAACGCTCCTTAACTCTGTTGTTCATAAACTCAATGCGTGTCACTTTATGGCTGCACACAAATTAAGTGCAGAAGATTTGAACTCTCGTGGCTCAGTCGTACCTATACTGGTGAACTGAATACTTTCTACGAATTGAAGTCTAATGGCAATTGAAGTCACTGTACTATTTACGGAGACCCCGAATTAGGTCGGATGATAACTTGTTGGGCTTAAAGTTGACTTTTGAGGGTTTATGATACATCCTCCACCCAATAGCAAACTTATTGCTTTTGTGACCCAATCTATGAAATTGGTTGCTTTCTGGCCCAACAAGAAGGGACTATTTTTGTTTTATTGTTATTTAAAAAAAATTCATTTTCTTGAAATTTTTACTTCGTTTATATTTCACAACCAAAAAAATTTATTTTCTTCGTTTGAATAATTCATATAACTTTTTACAACGATATTGTACTATAAAAGGAGATGAGGATTAAATCAGGCCACACAATAAGTCAATCATTAACTAAATATCAAACTTAGAATACATAATTTTCATCCATTTGAATTCAACTTAAAAAGTTTTATTTATTAGT